ACGTTATCGTATCTGATAATTAGATTCTGTTGTATTTATATTTATTTGTAGAATTGTTTCTATTCTTCATCATTGTTGGTATTTCTGGTTATATCCATATATGTAAATATATAGAGATGGGGGGGTTTGCCCAGGGGACCATATAAGCAAGTTGGACCACTGTCTGTGCCCATCAGGGAGGGGCAGGTGTCATTCAGCTGATATTATACATGAGGTTCAGACAGTTTAATGTTACAGTGCACCCCACTGGCCAATCAGGTGATTTGAAAATGAGAAGTTAGACAGGTGCCGATGACAGTGTGGAGGAGAAAGCCCTATCAATAGTTCCACAGCTGCTAATGACAGTGTTAGGAAACAGGCTAATGTTAGTCTCATTATCATGGTGGAGTGGAGCTAAAAACACATGCAGGACAGACCCAGAGAGTCCTCACAGAGTCACAAATACACACACATGACCTGCATCATTACATCATTACTTAGTTCCCTCTGGTTTCATCGTGGGACATTTTTCACTACAAATATCACAGAAGGCCAGAAGCCAGTTGTCTGCCACTCAGAATGTTGCAATAATGCAGCGACAGTAATTTCAATCCATGCAGATTCACCATAATGTGTTTTAAAAGGCCTGCTCCATCTGTCATTGTACAATATCTAAACTCATACAATCATTAATAACAAGAGGTGTTTTGGTATCAAATGTCAGTTGTCGGTTATACAGATGCAGAAACGTTTATATAGAGCATGAGCTAGGTAGCTGTGTGTGAGCAGTGGATCACATAAGTTTGTAAAGAGACCACGGAAAATGTCTTTAAGTTATGTATTCCTGATACAGTATCGTTCAGGCTCTTTGGAGAATGACCACACCATCCGTTTGTTTTCTTTGCACCACTGAACACAGGAGAATTGAATTGTCTTCACAACATGACTTATAGGCCTGTTTCTCCTGCTAGAGAATAACAAAACTTATAGTGGTTATTTCTGCAACTACAGGGTCTGTGCGAATAATCTTAGCCGCTATATATAGTTAACACTTGTGACATTTTTGCGGAAGTGTATGCATCAGTGTATGTGTCACCTGGTTTAGAGTAAATGAAAATGGAACACAACATAAATCAAAGGTTTTATTTCTGCTTAAACGAAATGTAAGTGAGATGCTTATATTGCCTCCTGCACAGCACAACATCTGAACATTCATTTTATTCTAATACAGCGAAGCAGAGCAACGTTACGGAGGTTTAAGTGGAGATATGTTGAGGCATCCTCTTAAATAATTCATTTTCACGTTTATGCCACAAGTATTCAATGAATCTTAATGGACATGATTTACAGAAGAAGCCAGAGCCGTCTTTATTTTCTGAGGAGGCTCAGCTCCTTCGAACATAGACGGAACGATGCCGCGGATGTTCTATGAGTCTGTGGTGTCAAGTGCCATCATGTTTGCTGTTGTCTGCTGGGGCAGCAGCTTGAAGAAGAAGGACATTAATAGACTCAACAAGCTAATCAGGAAAGCCAGCCATGTTGTTGGGGGGGGGGCTTTGTCCAAAGTAAGGACAATATTGGACTTTCCTTCATACCCTCTCCATAATGTCTTGATTAGCCTCTGCAGCTCGTTCAGCAGCAGACTCATCCACCCACGCTGCTCGACAGAATGACACAGGAAATCCTTCCTGCCTGTGGCTGTCAAATTGTATAATGAAAACTGTAATTTATAAAGCTTAATGCTGTATTCTGTGTATACTTTAACTTACATTCATGTACAAATGTAAATCTATACATACCCGGTTATTACTTGTACATATGTATATCTTTTATTTTCTTTTTAGTCTTGACTTTTATACTATGTTTATACCTGCTTTTGCTCTTTCACCTCTTTCTCAGGAGCTCTGTGACGTTTGAATTTTCCTACAGTGATTAATAAAGTACTTCTGATTCTGATTCTGATTAATACAACTGTTTATCAAAGACACTGCTGTAAAAGCTTTTTGAAAAGAGCTCTGCGTACAGCAGCATAGTGGCAGCTGAGCTCTTATAGTCACACACATAAGATTAGATAAGCTGGGCAATATCTCAGCAGTCCATTGGTCTTTATGAATGGTTGACACGTCTAAAGCACCATCAGCTGATATGGTTTCATGACCTGGACGTACACTAATAAAACTCAATAAAACTGTTACAATGAACAAGACGGTAAGAATCTTAATTTCAGATACTTTTTTGTATAAACAACTGTGTTTTATATCTCACCAATGTTTGCATTACTGCCTGGTGACACTGTCCTGTGATCAGTTTTCTTACTCTGAAAACTGGAAAGTATTCAAGGGCATCTATAAATGATGATGAAAGAGGCCTACATAATATAACTATATTAGTTTGAGTCTGAATGGCAGCAAACCTCTCCTTGACAGGTTAAGTGAACTACACAAAGAATGAAAAGTATTTTTCTGAGGCCTCTTCAGCTGCTGAACAACAGAAGAATTTTAATAGATTCCCACAAGTCCTGCAAACAAATCAGCATTGGAATAGAAATGAAAGGAATAAGAACATAGTTCTGTAAAGTGAAAGCAGCACCGTTGTACTCTGTATGAGTGCTGTATATTACCAGCTCATTCAGGCAGAGATCAGAGAACACATGAGTTGACAAAATAACATTATCCTCAAACAGTATTATAGGTTTAATACTGCAGTTATCTTAAATGACTTAAATGATGATGTTGAGTAATTGCTGCTGTAGCCTCAGCAGTGAGTTAAAAGCCAGGTCTGACGTTTCTGAACCTTTTAAAAACCAACTGCATTACCACTTCATGTTGTTACGCCCATGTGCGGCTCATACCTTTTTAATATATGAATGCCATCCAGCCTTTGTCCACAAAACACACTCATGCTGTTACTTTCACTCTCTGACACAACCTGCTCTTTCTGAGTTCCACCAATTTGTATCGATTGAAAAGAAGAAGAAAAAACACATTGTCATTCAAGACATCTTTTCTGTAACTTTGACCTTGCTGCTTGCGGTGCATTCCAACATTTTAATTCAGGGCCTTTAAGGAATTCAACAAACGGCTCCTTTATGGGCTAATTAAATGGTTCTACCTCTCCAGCTACTGTGTATGAGGCATTTAAAAAAATCGACTGTAAAAAATCAAACACTCATCATGACCAGGGCCTTTGCAGCAGGGTAAAAATTGCCCGGGGCCCCGGGCTGAGTGGGGGGTCCTTGTGAAGGCTGATTACATTAGTCCACATCAACATCAATTTTGTGAGAACCCTTTTAAATTCTACGATCGGCTACATACAGGAGACTGCACAAGAAAGCCCTTAGTGATGCCCCATAACTTTCTGCCAAAAGCTTTGTGTTCGTAGGGGCATGGTAAAAGACCAGTAGGTCACAATGTGTGTGTGTGTGTGTGTGTGTGGTTTGCTGTAGGGCCCTCTAGGTCCACTTTGCCTAGGGCCCACACAAGTCTCTTGAAACTTGCCTGACCATTACAAAGCAAAAAATAAAGAGGGTGATAATAATAATACATTTCACAGGGCGAAGCTTGCACACATTAACTACTGATTGATACATGTACATTCCTGGATATTTTCTATCTGTCTAACTGTCTGTTATTTCCAGAAATCTCTAACTTTCTGTCTGTGTGTGGAACACAAATCACAAGACGGCATGTGTAATGGTAAAGGCTGAAGAAAGTGCAGAGACAAATTTGGTGCGAATCGGACGTGTGATATGAAACTTTGAATAAACAGTCAACCAGCACTATAGCAGCTTGGACTCACCGACGGAAGTGACACTGTTGATCATGACAACAGCGCGTTCACGACAACGGCAAGAGCAACAGACTCTGCAGGTCAGAGTTCTGCAGTCTGAGCCGAGCGAACAAACAGGTGAGCAGCTCTTCTCTTTACTTGCTGCTGGTCCCTTTTACAGTTCCAGAGAGAAAGCTGCTTCCAGCCTCACCTCAGGTCACAGCCCATTCCAAACAGACAGGTTTAGAACGGTGATGTGTGTTAATCACTTAATGACAGCACCCTCTGTTTGATTGATTACTTTGGTGATTACACTGATAACAGGAACTGAACTAATTGTACTGTATTAGTTGTATTAAAAGGGGAACAATCATAGATGTGATGAGTCCCTGCTGCTGCTCATCCTGTCAGAACTGCATCAGTGATCATTTGAGAAAAGCACCGGGGAGCAATGTATTTCCTCCATCAAACAATGTCCCTGGTTTGATCAACCAGAAGTCATATCACCCTCTGAAATGAACTGCATGCTGCCTCTGGTCTAATGAGAAGAAAGATTCAAGCACAGATGGAATCACAGGTTTTCTGGCCTTGAGCTGCAATGTGGGACATGATTTACTCATTATTCTTAATCTACATATATGATTACACAATAAAACATTTATAACACTCTGTCTTTCTCCTGACCTGACCCCATACTGCACTCTGTGTATGTATGTATGTATGTATGTGTGTGTTTGTGTGTGTATGTGTGT